AAAATAGAGTAGCTGATGCTCTCTCTAGAGTTAAATATGCCCTGAATGCCCTGGGCTCTAGCTTTGCAATTCCTTCTTGGATTTCTGAAGTGGTGAACAGTTACAAAGGAGACACTAAATGTGCTGATCTAATTGCTAAGCTAGCACTAGATCCTACTGGCCAACCTCCTTATACTTGGATCTGTCAAGGGCATCGACAATCCCACTCAACAGAAGGAGAATGGTTCGAGCTCTAGCAAGGTCTCTTGGTATTCCCCGCTCGACCCTACATAGGAGGTTCAAGTTAGGTGAGCTAAAGCGTGTCACTAGCACCGTGAAGCCTACCATCAAGCCAAATAATAAGATTGCAAGACTGAAATTTTGCATGTCCATGCTCGATGAGCTTTGGATCTCAACTCCATCTCCTCTTTTCAAGCCAATGACAGACATGGTCCATATAGATGAGAAATGGTATGATATGACACGAGTGAAGAATACGTACTATCTACTCCCAAAAGAACGTACACCCGAGCGCCCCGTGCCGAATACAAACTGCATTGGCAAGGTCATGTTCCTGACAGCCGTGGCCAAGCCAAGATATAGTGATGATGGGGAGGTCATATTTGATGGCAAGATCGGGACTTGGGCCTTCGTCGAAGAGAAGGCGGCAGTCAGAACGAGTCAAAACAGAATTAGAGGAACTAAAGAACTGAAAAATGTGAAAGTGACCAGAAATGTGATGAGGGATTATCTATGCAACAAGGTGATCCCTGCTATACAAGACAAATGGCCTGACGAAGATATTGGAAGAACCATCTATATACGGTAGGATAATGCCAAGCCACATGTCCTACCTAATGACGTGGGTTTTCAAGAGGCTGTAGCACAAACGGATCTTGATATTCGGTTGTTGCAACAACCACCCAACAGCCCCGATATGAACGTTTTAGACCTATGCTTGCACAATTCTCTTCAATCCCTAACTAATAGCTTATCACCTAAAACTATTCAGGAATTGGTAGAAGGTGTGGAGGAATAGTTCGAGAACTATGAGGTTCAGAAGTTGTTTAGAAGCTTCGTGACACTCCAGGTAGTTATGATTGAGGTTATGAAAAATAAAGGAGGCAATGAGTATACACTCCCGCATTTGCATAAAGATCGCCATCAAAATGAAGGAAGGCCAGCAATCTTTCTATCTTGCGATGCTCGGCTAGTTGCTGAGACCAAGACCCTTATAGAGGAAGGAGAGAGAGAGAGGAGTGAGGGAATGAGAGATTGAGAGGAGTGAGGGAAGGAGAGAGAGAGAGGAGTTTTATCTTGTGTATTGTCGTATTCAGATAATTGGAGAAATGTGGAGCATTGTGCATGTCTTGTCTTGTTTATTTGAATTTATTTAAATTTGTTGGAATTTATTAGAATTTGGAGTATTGGATATTGATGATTATCTACTCATGGACAGTGCTACTCCATGGAACTTACTCATATAAACAGAGCATCCAGGAGCAGCAGCATTGCACACAGTAATTAGCCTAGTAATTGTACTCATCCAGGAGTAAACAGAAGATCCACCACACAAGGCCATCATAGGAGTACACACAAACCTAAAAAGTGAACTCCCTCCCTACATGTCGCTGGACCAGCTCAAGGAGCTGGGCTGGGCCAAGCGGTGGAGCTCGCAGCCCTACATGTCGCGCCGCACGGTCAGTCGCCGCCACGCGCCACTACTTGCATCATCAAACATTTGGAATTTGCAGTTGCAGGTGTTTGATCAATGTGGTGGTGTGGCGCTGGAGTTGATAAACTTATCCTTGCTATCCTGCCAACTGAACCATTCTGTACTTTGCAAAAGTACGTCATGTTCTACTGAGCTTAATGGACCGCGAATAGATCGTCTGAACTTCAGAAAATTGTACTCCCATTCCTCCCTATATTATCCCCCATGTAATCTTTCTTCCTTGTGCAAATGAATGGAGCCAAAATATACTGAAAACTGGCAGGTCAGTTTGTGGTTTTGAAACTGAATGTTGCCGATTTCTTCAGTTTCAGTTTTAGGGTGGTGTGGACGTATGCAGGTAGCAGCAATTAACTTGATTGTGCTAGCAGCAACTAGGAGTAAACAAAGCATCCTAGGTACACCAGCAGCAGCAGTACTCAGCAGAAGCAGTAGTGCATAAACAGGAGCAGCAGCACATGAGTTTGAGTCATAGAACAGAGGAGTCGGAGGAAGAACTTACCAACAGTGGCTGTAGCCGATGCAGAACACAGATCGGTCGCGCCACCAGCAGCAACACCAGCAGTAGCCATGAACAGAGAGAGCACCGCCGCCGTCCCTGCACGGCGAGGAGGAGGTGACTGCATCACGCCAACACCACGGGCGTCGAGGAGGACCACCAGGAAGCGCCGAGTACGCGCCACCGGATCGAGCTTCCCCGCCACCGGATCTACAATGCCGCCACAGGATCTGGCACTTCCGCCACCGGATGCGCCGAAAAATTGAAGCTTTTTCAGCCACCAAGTGCTGGAGGTGGAGCACGAGGCGAGGTGAGGTGAGGTGGGGGCGAGGTGCAGCTCCACAGAGCCATGAGGGGAGGAGGCGGGGAGGAGGAAGGAGGCGAGGAGGACGGGAGGACGGCGGGGAGGCGGACGGCGGCAAGGAGGACGGGAAGAGGACGGAAAAAAATTCGGTGGAGACCGGCTGCAAACCTCCTCCTGTGCAGCCCCACCTTCGATGTGCGCCACGTGGACAAGCTCAGCATCGTATGGATCGTCTCCTCCACATCAGTTCCCAAGCGTTGCGCAGCTCCCGGCTCGGCTCGGCTCCTTTGTTAGCGTTGGGGATTCGATCCTCACTATCGCGACCGGTTCACGAGCGCGCCGCCGCTGCCTGGATTCACCTCCTCTGCCGCCTGGCTTTGGCCCTGCCGTCGCCTGCAGTCGCCTCCATCAATGCCGCCCGTCTCGGAAACTCCCGCCGGCAAGGATTGTTTCCCCACCCAGCTGTCCACCTTCCGTACTCAAGTGCTTGCTATGTATATATGCCGCTGTTGCGAAAGTGATCTTCTGAGCGCGAGCACATGTGGTCGCGGTATCCCCCTGCTCGCTCGCCTCGTGATCCAGAAACACGAGCGTACAGGCCCAGGTATTATTCACGTATAGTGTTTTTTGAACGGTTCACATGGCCCACGTCTGCCCGCACGGCCTTCCAACGCCGTGAGGCACCTGGGCTCTGGCTTAGACGTACGCAAATGGGGTGGGTCGTTTTTGCGCCGATTCTGGGCCAACGCTGGCTGCTGCTCTTTTACTATTGTGCCGTTTCACTACCTTACCCATCACGATTCATTCATCCCCTTCCCTCTTGCTCATTCTACGCTGCACTTAATTTAGTGCAGTGTTAGAAATAGCTTGCTTCCAATGCTTGCTAAACTTAGATTAGATCAAGGAGAAACTAACCTCTGCGGATACTCCATCCACCTCGTCACTTGGATCTGATTTTGTAAGCCCAGTCAACAAGAGAGATAGCATGATTGGAGCCATGGCGAGAGCTGCCTTCTAATGGTCAGTCTCTGTTTTACCAGTACAGAGGAATGGCTCAACCCAGGCAGTCTGCTCCGCTCCTTATCTACTTGCTGCTGCTCGTCTTCCCGCTCACAGACTTTGAAATTTGAAAGGGATTGCCACAACAATGGGCGTGTGGCATCCCAGACAGCACGCATCTGTCTACTTTGCATAGTGGTACTACATGTCAATCACTCACCTGTGTGGAATATCTCAACGGGCAAGCATGCCAAAATTTATCTCAGATTTGATTTTCTTATCAACACACACTATACTCCGGATGGGTAATGTAGTTCTCACAATACATAATCCAGACCGGTTATTAAATTCATGCACCACATTGTGATTATACTCAGCAATTCTGAATGCACTCCCCGGTCTCTACGAAATTTCAGACTTTCATGGTTGTGCTCTTGAAGAAACCATAATGCAAGCAATTATCTTCAAAAATTCAGAAAGCAAGACACATTTGACAGTCATGAATTTATGTCTGTGCTCTTCAAGAGACCATAATGCAAGCAATGATCTACAAAAATTCAGAAAGCAAGACGTTTGATAGTCATCAAATTGCAATAATGCATGATCACATTGGAACAAAATTCAGAAATACAGACACCGAAATTTCAGAAACCAAGACTCATTTTCACAGTCATCCAATGTCCATAATGCATCCTCACATTGCAACATAATCCAGAAATCATTACAGTGCAAGAGTTCTATTGTGGAACATAATTCAGAAACCAAGACATGTTTCACAGTAATCAAAATTCCATAATGCATCATCACATTGGAACAAAATTCAGAAAATCATGACAGTCCAGAAGCTCCATTGTGGCACAAAATTCAGAAATCATGACAGTAGATGAGTTATACTAACAGAACTACCGACGAACCCTCATACACACAGTTCCAAACCATTTGTAGCATACAGTAGCTTCAGATTATACATAGTTGGCACAACAACAGCTGAATACACCTAGCAAGCATGGAAATAAAGAAGTTCTAGTGATGGAACTACCAACGCACACATGAAATTCTACAGGTTCATAGTCTAAATAAACAAATTCTTGCAATTTCTCACAACCCAATCATCCGCAGATCACCCACTTTGTTGCAGTTGTTTCACCTGCGCCCTTCGATTCCACAATTTTTGCCCCTTGCTGGCTTGTGAACAGGCTTCGGGGCATCAACCCTGTCCGGGCACGTAGTCCTCTTGTGCCCCTGCTGCCGACATATGCTGCAGAACCTTGTCTGTTTGCTGAGCCCCTCATACGGTGCCTTCTCACGGCTGGTGGTTGGGCGCCCCATTTCTTTCCTCTTCTTTGGTGCCAAAAAACCAGCGAGTCTGTTACCACTCTCATTTGTAGAAGTAGCATCATGATTCACCGTAGCCATAACTGCACCGCCACTTGCTGCAGCAAGAGGTATTTGTACTGGTAGTTGATTAACAACATCTCCATGTTCAGCTACCCTGTCCTCCAAACCCAGCCATCCCTAATTTCTGCAAATGGTTGCATTTCCACCATGCAGTTCTTAATGAGAACAATGAATTTCTCATATGCTTCGACACTTGCATCACCCATCCGCACCAACTCCATGGCATGCATATACATATTAAAATGCCTGAAGCTGAATGGATTTTTATGTGCATTATCTCTTTGATATTGAGTAAGGTGAGGTGGTAATACGTCACGCGCGTCCTTGGTCCACCGTTTGATAATGTGCTTCTGTGGTATTTTCGTAATACAGATGAAATCCAGCACCTATATTTTTCAAATTGCTCATTTAGTGCATCACAGACTGCACATAGTGTATACACATCTCAAAAGCATATTCTTCATTTTTTTCAGAAACCATACCTTCAGAACATGGCTGCAAAGGAGCCCCATGTGTGCAAATTGCCCGCACTCGCAGTCAAATTCCTCACCTCCTTCAAGAACATTCACCTTATATGATACCCTACACCATTTTTCTCTCCGTGCGGCTTCCATATGAATTGCAAGATACAATTTCCCTTTCTCGAGCTCCTCCACTTGGTACGCGCCGCACTCATAGAGAATATGCCCAAACTGCTCAACCATAGCTCGTGTGTATATCTTGCCAGCATGTCTCTCAATAGCTAAGTTTGCTTTCTACAGTGATCTGCACTGAAATATTAGATGTACCAAATTAGTGACCAAAAATTACTACTGCACATCTGGTGCCAAATTATGAAAAAGATCTTACTATTCGTGTCCGCTTCTCCTCGTAGTTCTCCTCAGCTTCCCTGTCAAACTGAAGCCTCATGTATTTCTTCACAAACAAATGCATTGGACAACCAGGCAGGACATAGTTCTTCAGCATGTGATTCGCACTTTCGCTACGCTGGGTGCTGGTCATCTTAGCACAGAAAACACATTTAAAATATGGCTTCGCCCACTTGTGTCTTATGTCATACAGTTGTATCATGTAGTCGTGTGTCTTCAGGTTATATTTCTCCACCAATATCCTCCAACCTTCCTCGAATTCATCGATTGTAAGCATGTGATTTACTACCTTGTGGAACTCTGCCCTGAACTCGCTCTTCTTGGTGTACAACAAGCCGAGTGATTCCTTCGCCTTCTTCAGCACATGCCACTTGACCATCGGTGTGCCGTTTGAGGCATCACATTTTTAATGGCAACCTCCATCGCTCGGTTTTGATCTGCACAACATCACCAGATTATATTAGACAAGCATGCTTTTGTAACATCAATACAAACATTTGTCATACATAGAGTATGTACAGTATGGATTCACACCTATCAGAATGGTTTTTGGTGCACTTCCACCCATCATCCTAACAAATTCTGTGAAAACCCACTCAAATGTCTCGATCTTCTCACTACAGACCAAAACCCCAGATAGGATGATGCACTGGAAATGATTATCACACCTACAAACAGACCAAATGGCATGTTGTATAGGTTTGTTCTATATGTCGTATCGAAGGTAACAACATCTTCGAAGAATGTGTACTGCAGCCTGCTACTCCCATTTGCCCACATAAGAGTCGTTATCCGCCCATCCTGGTCCGCCTGGACACGATACGTGAAATGTGGATCTCTTGAACCCAGATCTGCAAAAACCTCCATCGTTTTCCTCACATCATCCTCTACCTGCTCTCTGTTGATTTTACCACACAAATTTTTCAGAGCCCTTTTTGTGAAAGGCACCTTTTCCATTGAACCAAAAAAGCTCCCAATTATACTGTGTACTTTGGCTAAATTCACATTGTTCTGCCGTAACTGCTCTACCAAGTCTCTGCTATAGGCATCAATGTGATTGTGGGACGGCCAGTGAATCGTGTGCCCATATGTTGGAGATAGCGAATGATTGTGTTGTTCACGATGTTCAGATATGTACCAACCATTGTCCTTCAAATAGAGCAACCTTATTAATGCTGGGCATTCGCATCGGCACGATCTCGTGTTCTCCACCCCTGCTTTGCCCTGCAAAACACCAATCATACAAGCACATGCAAAAATCAGGTTTCACAGACTCAAGAAGCAGACCAAATTTATGAAATAATCCAGGAGGGTACAAATACATACCGTACATCCACAAACGATTTCCTGCATGCATTTTGTTCTCTCCACATTCAGCCTACTCTTCCCGTACCTTATTCCAAATCCCTTCTCCCATGAGTAGAGATTGTAAAAAGCATAGGTCTCCCCAAGTGTATCAAAGCTTGTCCCCGGTGCTGGCATGATTACAATGCTGCCTGGCTTGTCAGCAAACCCCCTTATTGCCTTCTCAAGGGCACTGGGTGGCCCAGGGCAAGGCGCCCTCCCAGGAGCATCAGCTCCAATTCTAACCCTGCATTTTTTATAGATCAATATGTCACAACTTGTATGTGTACTGGAATGAAGTCAACGATATCCTGCTTATGCCTACATCCTGAGTTTTCAACATTTCAATCTCATACTCATTCGCTTTATCCACAATCCACTATCCCTAGCATTTCTTTGTCCCCCTCAAGCTGCATATCAGAAACCTTCCCAACGAAATTGTGGTATCCTGATCCAGGACTGCTTTGCCTTTTTGTTATCCTAGTATACCTACTGGTAGGCACCCAGGTTAAGGCTGCCAACATGACATGTTTACCAAATTTAAATTATATTTATGTTTCATGAATGGCCAATTTTTATTTATCATGTCAAACAAGCCCGCCTTTTAGTCCATGCTCTAACTTATATTCTTACTTTCCCTATATTCCATGATCTAATTTTCGAACTACTAGTTCCCAGCTCAATTCCGCTATCTATCCCCTAGTATCAGAATCCAGTATCCATAAACAAATAGCAACACTGCTATGCTTTATATTAACCATCTGTCCCTGCTAGTTTGCAAAGTACTACCTATGAGGGAAGCACACAAGCGTTTTCCAAAATGTTGTATACAACTATTCCAATTTTCAGAGCATCTTCTTTATCCAAAAAATCCATATACAACCTACTGCTAAACTGGCCTGACTACACACAAGTCAGAATGTGGCACTTGCAAAGTATACTTCAAAGTGGACAAACACCATTAGCCAATAGATTACCTGCGAGTCTAGCCAGGAGTTTTTGGATCAATTTGACCTATGGATTGCTTAGATGCTTGCGGTTCATCGCCCCCCTCTGCCGCGACTGTCACATCCGCCGCACAAATCCGCCCGTCAGTGCTACCTGTGGCCATTGGGGGCAGCTCTTCGGCTCCTATCGCCACAGCTGGGTAGAGCAGAGGCTCCATTGGTAGCTCATTGTCGTTCACCTCCTCCATCACCGCGGTCCTGCAGTCCACCAAATCCATGGATGAGAGGCACATATCTACCAACAGGAACTCTATTGAGATGGGGAGGGGCGGGGTGGTGGTGGGGGTGGAACGAAGCTGAGGGATTTGGATTACCTCCTAATCGGTTGCATGAGGAACTCCATTCAGGAATCGCCGCCGCATTTTCCTTCCGCCGCAGACCTCGGCGGGCGTCAATGGCGCTGCAGGATAACGTGGCCACGGGCGGGAGAGAGCTCCTTCTTCCATCTGACTTGTCATTTATTACGCTGCCCACTGCCCCCTACCGGAGATCCATTACCTGAGCCACGGATCGGGAGTAGAACGCAGACTCGAGCCACGGCTTAGGGAATCTCCCGTCACGGCCCCAACCACGGCCTCCGTCACCGACGGTTCGTACGCCGCAGACCCATACGGTATTCTTTCCTCCCGTGAATTAATAAGGAAGGAACAGCTGGCGAGAGACAAATCTCAAAGCCCTATCGAGCCGTCCTGATAACGCGAGCACCTGTGCTCGCGACCAGAACAACCGCGTCCCCGCTGTTGTTGCTTTTGCTGGCGCTGGCTTGTCTAGTATATCCATATAGCACTTGTCAGAGCAAATACCTTTATATCGATTATGGACACAGCTGTGAACATAGTTTTAGTTATAGGAAATGTAAACAAGTAATGTCAATATCTCATAATTCGTGAACGGAAAGAAAAAGTTGCCACACTTAATGGCAGAAAGAGACAATTAGAAGCACAAGTTAATCATCTACATGACCAAAATATGTATGTAAATATTCTTACTTGTACACTTATTATATCATCACTGAATTTTGATAATGCATTAGTTATCACTTGCACTGCACACTCAAACTTCCTTCTAAGGGACAGCTTTTCACTGCAATGAAGCGAAGAAATCTGCTATGGGTTCAAAGTCAAGGTGTGATTTATACTACTGTTGGTCCAGAAAATGGTCGAACTTATGGTTTGCGGAAGGTATGTTGTGTTCAGTCTGGGTTCTCCAAGCCACCGACTATTTGCAACTTCACCTACAGAGGGAGACATTGTGGATCAAGCCTGCTGATATATTGATCAAATAGTATAGATAATTTTTTTTGTCGAGATCAAATTATACATGTACAGAGATTTCTTATTGACAGGTTGAAATGTCAACGTACGATGTATGCAATGAGCTATTTGTAGATTGGGTCACAGGATCAAGTTTCAAGATTTGTGAACTGATGGTTTAGAAGATATGTATTCCAAGTTGGTTGTCCTGAAAGGCTGACATGATTCATAGTTGAGTCTTGCTCTTAGCCATCTTAATGAGGTTTCCTCAAGACAAAAATATTTATAGAGTAATATAGGATGAAAAGGTTCTTGCTCCCGTAAAATTGTATGATTTTTGTGCTTTTGGTTTGGAAGCTACAAAAACAATGAAGGAAAATTGTCTGAATTTTCAAACAGATTGTGTTCTTTTACTTGAGTTGAAGTCCTACTTAATCAAAAGACAAGAATAATATCCTCCATAAAGTTGTAGCTCATTTTGCGAAGTTTCGAAAAAATGTATTTATTTGGAATCTTGATTCTATAGATTAAAAGATACTCCCTCTGTAAAGAAATATAAGAGCGTTTAGATCACTACTAAAAGTACTTCTATATGTATAGCAGATCAGAGAAACAATCACACTTTTTACCATCAAATTGAAGATTTCAAATCATTCATATATATGTGTTAGATAAGAAAATACATTGTACATTGCCAGGGAGAGAAATCAACTCTAGATTCCTACAATATTTGTCATAATTCAACTCCAAAGTTGCAAGACTTAACATTTAGTCTATCTAAAAGTTGACGAAATCAACAATAATTCCATCTTCTCCAATGGTTTCCACGACAGTTTTGTACTTGAGGGTCTTCGTCTAGGAGACGGACGGTGGAGCTTTGTTGTTGCACAGCAAGGAGGCCTCCCCTTTGTTCTTCCGTCGCCGAGGCTCCTGCCTCTAGGGAGGGCTCCGTCGATGTCAAAGATAGCCACCCTGCTTACATATGCTTTCATCCTTGGGCCAAGAGTAGAATCTTGAGAAACCTTTTATATCTCGGCCTCGAGCTCACTTTGATTCATTCAGAAGATGTCCTTCCAACCAGGCTTAAACATCTTGTAACTCCAGTCAAGGTTTTTCTCAAATTGACTTTATACAGGGCAAAGAGAAGAAAATGTCAGCGAAATAAAAATCCGATCCTCAAAACTGTACCATGCTAAGAAAACATTGGGTCCATATTGTCAGTTTTAGTTGTTGCAAAGAAACACATTTCATACTCTTGCCATCTTCTTTGCCCTAAGCTGAAATCTACTCTAATATTTCCCCTTATCCATGTAAACCATCGAACCAACATGCGACTTGTCAATGCAAACTGTAATCTTGTAAATTCTATACAAAGGTTCCTCTTTAAAGAACTCAACAAAATGTATTTTAACGATACTTCATGGGTATCTGAAAATGAATCTATAATAGCTCTCTTTTTATTTATGATACAGTTACAAATGCAGTATTTCCTGAAGGCCCAATTTAACTACACCAACTACCTGTATGCTGATTTGTTGCTTAGTATTGGAAGCACAGGAAGTTCCTCACATGTATATGTTCATTATCACCTACAAAAATGTGTTACCTATCCAATGCTTACCTACAACCGGGTCAGGGCAGTGCTTGTCTCCTGACGCAACACTATATAACAACAGCAGTTCATCAGCAAGAACAATAGAAGTTGAACCGAAATACGAATCAACAAAACAAACCCAGCAATGGACAGATCAACTGCATAGCACCCAAATGAATCTCGAAAAGAATCAGTGGGCAAACCAAAGGGACAAGGAACTCAAGCCGCATCTGCGTCGTGTGGCCGGCGGCCGCTGTCACTACCCCGTGGCAGACGAGGGGGCGGGGCAGAAGAGGTGACCGCGGTAGCGAATGGGGGTGCGAAAGTTCCAACTGTGGAAGCGGACGAGGGAGCCGGCGGCGGCGCGCCGCGGAGGCGATTGCGGCGGCGGCGGACGAACGGAGCGAGCGACTGGGAGAAGGGAAAGGAGCGCGCCTGAGCCGACTCATCTGGAGCCGAGAGTCAGCGCGCGAGCCGAGGGAACGCGTGGAGCGGGTGGGACAAGGGATACCGTCGGATGTTGGGCACGTACAGGTGTCAGCAGATGCGATCGGGTACGCACGGGAGGAGGTTTGCAGGAGGTCTCTGTTAGGAATTAATTAATTAGTTTAGTTAAAGGGTTAATCCCTGCTTATGTCGGTTTCACTATTGGCAACCGCTCTTTGTAACCGCCTTTGTATCCGGGTATATATACCCCAAACTTCATCAATGAAAGTAACTATTCCATCATTTGCTCCTGCCTCTCTCATTTTACTTTCACACGTTATCAGCACGCCTATGCCGAGAGCCTCGACGAATAACTCCGATGAATTCGTTTCTCCGGATACGCTGGAACAACCTTCTCCTCGTTTCTTCTTTTCGTCGACCCCGTCGTCCTCTACGACGATCTACCCATCAATCATCAACCAATTAAATTGGCAGTTCCTTCTCAATCTTAGATTCCTTTTCATCGCAGATGCAAAGAGTAAGAAGGCCACCATGAGAAGAAAGCACAAAATCCTGAGAATTTACAATTTCTTGCATCTACCATGACGAACACACATCTGAAGAACAATAACTGGAAGAGCGGAAAAACAGTCGAACAAGAATCAGGAAGCACAACGCAAAGATCAAGAGATAAAGTCACAAACAGCAAGCATCCCGAATCAGCCTTAAAGACCAGAACTCTTGATCTTAATCGTTACATCATCAGGTGATCCTATTCCAAATTTTGTTCTTAGACAAATACGTACTAGTAACCTCCAATCCAGGCGACGTACCTGCTTGCAGCGGAGAGCCCAGCCTCGACGTCGCACCGGTGCACGACGTGCAAGACACCCGGCCAACGGCCAACTCCCTTACCAACAGCCGACGCCAATCGGCCATGGCCACTGACGAGTGACGACGCAGCGGCCAGCCGAGACGGTGTTTGTGAGGCACCCCTCCTGTTCCGGCTCCTTGCACTACGGCGCGCAGCGCTCAGCCCACGGCCCGGCCACCCTCGGAACCACTGCTTCCCGCGGCAGGACCAGATCTCGACGCCGGCGGCGCCCTCCGGCGCACCAGGCCGCGACCATATGCATGGCGCTTCCCGTACCGCAGCACTGCAGTGGCATCGGACGCCCACGACCCTCTCAGCGTGGTGGCTGCTCCTCCAAGCGACGGCACGACTGGCCCCTCTCAAGGCAGCGGCGAGGCGCCGTGCCTTAGCAAGCAACGGTGAGGTTGGTTTCAATGGCTAGAAATCACACGCACCCACGGGATGGGAATTGGGCAAACCTTATCTGTTTGTTTTTTCTCAATTTAGCCCTTACAGTTTACTTATTCACGGATTAGGCACTACCTACAGATCCTGTGCTAATCATGTATAAGTCAAGTGATTTCGTTTTTCATACCTCTGGCTTAATAGATTTTTTTAAGCTAGCTTAATAAAACTTTGTAGTGCAGCCGTTTGCCTCACTATATTTTACTGAAATTATGAATGTCGGACGATCATGTCTTCAAATTGCATAAAATATAATTATACATCAATTTACATGATATAAAGATACCTTTTGAAGCTCACATGTCTTCATAGGTTACATGAATGTGTATAATTTTATATTTACATGTATTACCTCAGTAATACTATTGTGGTATGATACTTTACTTATATCTAAGACCCTATTCCTACGGAATTGAAGACATCATCTATGTCTTTACCCTTAGCATTGCATGCAAATCTACATACGATTTGTGACAACAACTACGATTTTGCAATAGAAATCCATTTTCTTGCAAATCTTAATGAAATTCTAATAAGAATTATAAATTGTCATACTTAATATGACTAGCCCAAAATTTTATTTGTGAATCACAAGGTATGAGTGGCATCTACTGCACGGTTTGCAGATTATCCACCACTACTGTGAGGTCTACATCTTGTCACTTTAACAAAATGACTACCTTCAAAGTGCTCTTCCAAATAATTTAATTTTTTTTGCGGGGTCTCTTCCAAATATTAATAATATATGTGACTACCTCAAGATATCATAAGGTAATATTGGCATCTACTGCAAAATTTTGCAGACTATCCACTATTACTGCAAGGTCTACATCATGTCACTCTGTCAGATGATTACCTTCAAAGTGATTTTCTTAATTATAGCATAACATAAGGTAATAGAGATATGAACATCTACTGACAAAAGTCAGACTATGTTTTCTATTACTGTGAGATCTACACCATATTGGTGATTATTTTCAAATTGTTATCCTATATAAATTGAGGTCTACACATATGGTTATAAAAGCACCAGCTTTCTATAAAAAACAAAAATTGCTCCTCTGAAGCAATTGTTGTTGTTCACTAAAATGATTTACTATCATAGCAAATTCATGCATGGTCATTACATGTTGAATGATATTATCTATCAATATCAATTATTCAAGCCTCATTTTGCTTGGATAAGCCGTAGAGAATTGCGCAAATATATGCATACCACGGTAATATCTTCTATTATATTGGTTATTAAATACATGGCAGTTGAGCCTATGTCACTATTTCTAATTATAGTGTCATCCATCCATCAAGATGGATACAATAATTTATTGCAACGATCGAGTGTCTCAAACATGGTTGCAAGATCCACATCACATTGTGGTTGTTATTTACATACTACCTAACCAATGTTAAAATTACAAAGTCCATGTTTTGGTCGTGACTCTAAAGTCACACCTTTTTCCTCAAGAAAGAAGCCCAAAACATTAGTAACGATTTCGTCGCATGCACTTGAAGGTTTACACCCCATGTTCACCAAGCATCACCTTGGCGGATTGTTCTCAACAAGATCATTTCATCCATATAGATCTTTTACTCCAAGAAGTAAATTAAATAGTGCATGATCATTTCATGTAACACATGGCTATTATATTGATAGCTAAATATGCACATATGGAATTTATAAGTCACCAACTTCACTTAGTTCTCAAACTAAGTACACAATGGATGAATATTTATTCATCTCGAATATTTTACTTAAGAGAAACATGCTGCCATGAGCACATCGCGAATGATCACCCATTCATTTTTTAAGACCTCAAGTCTATCACAGCTCACAATTCTGTCATTTAATCAACTTCATGTTGAGATCCTATGTTCAAATATTTTCATATGTAAATCCGGTTGAAAAGCCCTTAATACCTTTTACATCCTCATATGATGGTATTACCATTTTCCATGATGGAGAAACATGTAATTTCTTAAAATCATCAGATTCACCCAACGGGTTCTATTCCATTATTTGTAGTTCTTGCTAGTATTTACTATTTTGTGCAACTTGGTGCTCACAAAATAGAACCATGAGGAATTCAAAGTAAAGTGGAGGCAACTGAAGACAACATTACCTCTAATAGGGAATAAATCGTTTCCAAACAATCACAAAGACAACTCTCAAGTTTGTCAAATGTGTGGTTATACAAACATTGTACCTATGATTACCAAACCCTCAAATACATAGTTAAACCACACCACACATTTGGGATAAATTTTAAGATTTGCAAACTTACAACCAGAAAATGTTCTGGTAAATGATTGTTTTCAAATCTTCATCAGAAGGTGACAACCAAAAATCTAGTGCAATAAAAAGGATGGTGAATTCCATTGCAACGACGATATGTTTGGATAATAAATTTTTCAATAATATTGGAGACCTCATGTAATCTCTTAATTATCCCAAAATATTATTAACCTATACTTGTTGTACTACAAGTAGTGTGATGTTCAATATCTTATTTCTCGAACATGATATTCGATAAAAATTTTGAATGTATGAGTCAAGTCATACTCAATATTGTTGCGTACACAATAATTTTCTAGATCTTAATAAATTAAATATTTGGCTTGGTAGCCTTAACCATCCTGGTTTGGGGATGATTAGAAAATTATTGACAATCCTGTTGGTCACAACTTATCAAGTTACAAATTTCCCCAAATCATCAGATTTTATGTGCACCGCATGTGCCATAGGGGAAATAAGTTTTAAGGCACTCTCACCTTAAAATTCTAAGAAGGACACTTCTTCTTCTTGAACACATTCACAAGATATGTCTGGATTGCTTAACCATTATCTGGGGTTATTTAGATACTTCATGGTACTCATATACACATTGATAAAATGTTTTTCAGTGTGTCTCTTATCACACACAACCATGCATGATCTTACTAAATAAATTGCTCAACTTATCAAAGTAAGAGCAAATTCTCCTGAAAACAGGATCTATAAACCCATTCGAATGAACAATGTTGTTGAACTCATTCAATGAGCATATTTTTTGCATTAATTACTTTATGTGCATACCAAGATGGTTTAGCTAAATTTCTTATCAAAGAGAGTTAAATGAATTACATGACCACTTTTAAAGAATTGTAAATTTACCAGCCTCCTGCTGGACACATACGGCCTTACACACCGTAAATATGATCTAAATCATACTAACTGCAGATCATACTACTTTCCCCTTGTAGTTACTACGTGGAAATCAACAAAGTATTTCCCATCTGCGATAATTCGGTTACATACCGATATCACCACTCCAGCGTACATCAATGGGCACTCACGAAAATTAGGGATCTATGTGAGGAATAACAATTTATCTATCAATCAAAATCATTCATAGCCCGTATGCTGATTGCATCAGCAATAAGGATATTTTTCGGCATTAGGGGGAGATAAGTACCACAAAGAATGCCGAGAAATAAATTAGAAATGTTATTGACATTCAATCCTTATATCCACGTACTCAAAGAATCTGAACTAGAAGTTTAGAGAATCATATATTTGCAACACACTGCAAATTTGCCACATACATTTACTGATGACAAGGTGTCACTAAATTCTACATTCCTGCAGTTAAGTGTCAGAAAGAGTGGAGGTACCTGATAAACCACTCTTATCCCCAAATGAGAGCAAGAGGGGGAGAAAATCTGACAACACGAGATATAACTTCTCATATGCTTCCGCGGAAACAGAGGAAATCAAAAATCCTCAACCAGTAAATGTAATTCAACATCAAGTTGAAAGACACCTCATTGGATGCTCATCATCCAAAGCCCGGCATAAATGTGCACAAATGTTTTGGTGCCGGGACATCGGAACACCTTGACTCCATTTGTTGTAGGAAATCATAAGGAGTTAAAAAGGAATAAATATTTTATCCACAAACTTCAATTATTCCATCAGAATCATATAAACTAAATACTACATTTGTCGACATATATTTCTTCTCAAATTGCTAAAATCTTTTGGGCCCTGAACCAAAATCATGGTAGAGTGCCTCTTGCACTCATATTGGTTCACATAAAAGGAAGCAAGTAAGGAAGAATAGCACTCGCTCTGCAAACGAGTGGTATTTACCATAGTAATACCTACTCCTCATAAGTATCTTCCATATGGAATACTAAAATTTCTCATTCATATACAAAGTCAATGAGGTGGTGAGAAAGTGAGGCTTGTAGCAAAAGGGTTCACGCAGAGACCCGACATCAATTATGATGTAACATACCTTCTTGGTAT